CGCAAAGTTCACCGTGAGGGACAAGAACCTCCTCGTCTGTGGGATTGACGAGCCACAACTCCTGCTGCGGCTGCTCAGTGATGCACAGCTTCAGCCTCTGATCATTGCTCGGCTTTGCCCACGCACGCAACCTCAGATTGGCATGGTGCAATGAACCACTCAGCCTAAGCCTAGCGTTAAAACCAGAATCGTATTCCAAGCCCGGCCCAGGTTTTTGTTGATCCCTCCTCATCCCAAATACTCTCACCTCTCCCCCCCAAGACCACCAAAACGCGCGCGCCCCACCCCCCTCCCCCCCTCACCTCGCCTGATGATGCTGGCGCACAGGCAGGGATACAAGGACAAGGCGCATCCGCACGACAATTGGGAGCCAATGACATTGTTCCCCCCCTCACCTCGCCTGATGATGCTGGCGCACAGGCAGGGATACAAGGACAAGGCGCATCTAACAATTGTGGCCCAATGACATTGTTCATGTGCTTGGGTTTTGACATCAGTACAACTAGGACCCCATTTGGATTTGTTCTCGTGGGAGGGGGGGGCGTGCTCCACCCCGCTCTCCCTTGACCAGACCCCTTCCGCTTTTTTAAGCAAGCAGCATCACATGGCAGCTGCAACACAAAAGTCCAAGCGCAGATCAGGTTTCTCTGTATCATCGCACAGTGAGAATTTTGCTAAGCTACAGGGAACAAGCACTCCAATCTGCACATGACATGGAAATTTTGCGCAACCAAGCTGCGTGAACTTTGTCATGAACTCATTCTCATCCATAACTGCACTTCCAGTACTTTCCCGGGACGTGTTCGGAGGCGCTGCAGGCGGGGTGTACACTGGCCTGGACTGGGTTCTCCTTGGCAGTGCTTTGGGCTGTGCCTGGCGCTGCGGTGTACCACCGGAGTTTGACGAAGTCGTGCGGGCAGGAGTTGCAGGGGCTGAGCTCATCAAATGGCCATATTTTGCGCTGAACTCATGGACCTGCTTGGTCACTGCTTCTGAGCGAGACCCCAAGGCTTCCACAACAGCAGCCGGTAGCCTGATTGGGAGTCGATTTCAGGGCCCGAGGGAATCACGCGTGACAAGCAATAGCCTATGTGCAATCACTCAATAATTGCTGCTGAAGCACGTCAACTTCTCATTCTGCACCACCAGTAGCTTCAAGGACGGCATGGCCACAGAGTCATTGCCATCCCTAGGCCTTGTTGTTGGCCCAGCATCATCACTCATGTCCCACCATTCCTTGAATTGAACACTGAAGCTGTAACTAACATTCACAACCTGACGCAGCTGACAGTGTCGGCAAACAGCTGTGAAAATGAGGTCAGGACCGTTAAGACCAGACCAGCAATGTGCTGGCGAACCGGGGCCAAATCGAGATCTTCCGTAGCAGCATACGCAACAAATCTCCAATCCATCTTTGGCTGGCTTCCTGTGCGTAGCAGGCGCTCCTTCTGCAGCTGCCACGTTGCACGGCCCCATTCGTTGTACCTGGTTGCATGCTTGGACCAACGAGACCTACAAAGTCAAAGGCGAAGAATGACCACTTGCACAAGTAGCAGATAATGTTCGTGGAAGAGAGGAGTAGTAGCAGACCGGTATAGATTAACAAACATTTATAGGTAGTAGATGATACATATCATGAATCATGAACGGTAACACCTGTTCAATATTGGGGCACTGGCACTTAACTAGTAGCAGTTGGACAGGGCGGCAACAAGAGCATCAGCGCGAAGGCTGCCACGCAGTTTAGTAGCAGCAGCACAGGCAGCAGCTCAATTGCCATGGCAGCAGCATCATGTCTGAAAGAGATAATTTAAGGGCTGGCTGACAGGCCCACCCTTTGGAAGGCCATCTTGACCCTAATCACGTGCGCAAGAACATCATCACAATTGAGACCCCATTTTGGCTTGACTGGGACTTTGGGGCTTGATTAGGGTGGAGAAGGCCTTCAAAGGGGTCGGGCTGGGTGGGCGACGGGGCGACGGCCAGGGTTTAAGGTGTAGCAATTGGCATTAAATAGTGTTTGCATCAAGCATGAGCTCAAACTATTGCCGTTAGTGTTTTGGTACGTAGCGGCTATAACTGCTCCTAGCAGCGCAACAGCACTTGGTCCATCATCAGTTATACGCATAAAAAATACGCAGCCCACACTAAGCCGAGACACTTGTTTGGAAGCAGGTCACAGATCCAAATCTTCGTGTCTTTCTCAAGGTCCATGCCATCCGTCATGCCGAGGATGATCTCCATCGAACTCTCCATGCCACGCTGCTGGATCTGCAGTCAGGCTCAGGCAACATGTTTCAGGACTTCCTACACTAGGAGTCAAAGCCTGGACCAGAGAAATGCTGACAAGTCACACGTTGTGTTGGTGAGAGGCCTCTATCAGGATCCTCAACCCAAAGATCCATCTGCCTGGCTCGTCTCACAGGGCCAATTATTCCCAGGAACGCACGACTCTTGTGGAAACCAACAGTCTTGTGCACGCTCGAAACTCCCAAGAATCCTGGGCAGCGCATGAAGCATCATCTGAGAAAGTGAGCGTCAACTCACCAAGTGAAGCGTAAATCAATGCCAAGGAGCCAGGCTGGCTGCGCTTCCTCTTGTCGCCCGCGTGCCCAGTGTCCTTGTAGTTGATGGCCACATCAATGACGTCGAAGGCCCTAAGATGATCCATGTCATGTGACTCGCCAGGGATGCAGCAGTGAATCAAGCAACGACAATGGCTCAACATCAGAAGTGCAAGCTCAAGTATCGTGAGAAGCCGATCTTCCACAGCACGACGATTCTTCACACACGTTGTCTGATGCAGAGAGGTATGCGTCATGGGGCACAACACCAATAGGGCAGCATTCGAATTGCTGGCGCAAACAGCACGGGCTGCTGAGATGGCTTCGTCCACAACCACTGGACCTGAGAACATGTACTAGTTGTTTCACTGGCCAACATTGGAAATCTGAAGCCGATTCTGCAAAGGGGCGGGATGGGTACACTGTCAAGTCCATGATGAGAAGCGTCAGCCTGAGGCAGGGCGAGAATCACTTGGCTTAGCAATTTCAAGACCTAAGAACCACATTCTGACAAGTCACGGCGGGGCATCCAGTCCTGCTTGCTGAGAAATCAGATCAGACTGGACCTCTTCCAAGTCATTGGCAAGGACCTGGTAGCGCTGGAGCTGCTGCATGATATCCTCCACTGACTTCTTCCCCCGCTCATAGCGGGCACCCAAGTACTGGATATCCAAAGCGCCCTGCACAAGTGTGACAAGTGAATATGATAAATAGTATTCATGAGTTCGCAAGGTCCACAAAATTTACAATGGAAATCAAGGCCTGCCGATTTGCATTGTTTTGCTTCTCCTGCAAGTACGCCTGGACTGTGTCCATGTCGGCCTTCAGCTTTGCCTCGGTCTGCTTCAAAGTCGCCGACTGCACTTGCTCCATCAACCTCAGCAGGATGTACAGGGCAGCGGAGATTGAATCGTGGATGGGCTCGAAAACTACTTCTGTCTGAGCAGGGCTGTGCCACTAACATGTTCGAAGCGATGATCAAGAATCATAATTACAACTACTATTATTATTTGAAACACTTAATAAGTAATCAACTAATTTTATCATTCCTTGCTATGAATGTTGCCCCAGCACGTGCAAGCGACCGATCATTAAATGCGAAAGAAGCAGCTGCTCTTCCTCTGCCATTTTCATTTCATCTGTCTCCTTCTTGTGCTTTGACAACACTGCCCGGAACGCCGAAATCTTTTCCAGATCGCAAGGGGGAACTGTGTCATTCAGAATGGCATCCAGCTCTGAATCACAGTGTCGCAGCATGAACCTTCAGCAATAATAGATTGAGAGAAGGGATCCCACTCAAGAACTGATGGGCCAAGCAACGCTTTCAAGATTGACCCTTTTTCCTTGTTCACGAACTCGGCTGGAAACGCCTGGGTGAACTGCAGCATCGCGTTCAGGAACAGGGCGGCGCGGCGTTGCATTGTTTCCTTTGGCAGCTAATTATTGCCATGTTTGGGGTAGCAAAAATCTATCCTGAATTACTGCGTTAAGGGTTTAGGGTTTCGGGATTGTATGGAGCCAGTCAGTAAAAACTAGTCAGCAGAAAGGATGATGCTAGCGAGGGCGCCTAGGGAAGGGTGAGGGCTGAGCCTGATCGTGTGGTTCGTGGAAAATAATATTCTCCCCAAAGCTGAGTGGACAGACCCTTGGCTTTGTATGTGCGGTTCATACACTACATCAGTGATTCACATTCACCTGTCTAGGGAGATCAACAACTTTTCATGGCCAGACTTGATATCTGGGCCAAACTTTATTACCCCTATAAACTGTAAAAACCCTGAACCCTTAAAGTCTATTTAAACCCTATAATCCTAAAGCACAACTTGACCCAATTCTCAGGACTAAAACCTTGTCAAGCATCAATCTGGAAAGCGTTGAAGGGCCTTCTCATCTTGGTGTGGGTCGCGCAGTAATCGGCTTCCAGGCGATTCACGACGAGATCGAGAATCTCACGTGAATTCGTCATCTACGGCTTCCAAGCTTCCATGTTGGGGCCTGCACTATTGAACTCCTTGTTGAAGATGCCGTTGGCCAACGCCTCATGCGTCATGAATTTCATCCCAAAAGTCCTGAGCTGAAGTTGCACCTCCCTACAACTTGGCTCACAACAAGGCTGCAAAACAGCAGGGAATGACGCCAAGGAACCCCACAATTTGGTGGAGCCGCATGTAAACCTCATCCTCCACAAACTTCACCAAGTTCAATGCAGCGTGCGACTCTTGGCGTCCAACTGAATACGCTTGTGCCACTGTGGCAGCACGATCCCAAGCCTGAATCAAAACTTATTCCCTGGCTGCCTGTCTGTGTGCTGATGTTGTTGTTCGTCTGTCACCTGGATTGCAAAAACAATCCTGGTGGATCAACTTCATGACGCACATGACATCACATGATGAACATCGAAACTGAGCTGATTGCTTCCATACTCAAGACGTCTGCCCGTTGCATGCGCTTTGCCAGGGCCAACTGGTGTACCAAATTGAAACAATTCGGCTTACGCCGAACAGATGATCCCAGGGTGATGCCTGATTTGCAATGAAAGGTCATCCAGGCTGGCTCACAGGCAGGACATGAAGCACTTCACTTTTTGCGATCAAAGGGCTTCTGTTGTTCAAAACCATCAAGGCAGCATCATCCAGACCAACCACATTCACCGTTGCGTGGATGGTCGCAAAAGAACTGAGGACAACTCAAACCGTGCACCTATAAGCATAAGAACTCTTAAAGGCATCTGAGTCACTCTCTGTGGCTATCGCCCCAAGCCTGACCAACCAAGCCAAGACAAACAGCTTCCAACTTGATAACGACTTCCATGAACACGGCATGAAGAATATTGATGGGACATGACAAAGGTTACATGGCCTGGCCTCTGCAAACTCTGGGTTCTCATATCGGCACAGCATCACAGTCAATGCCGCAATTGCTCTGGACCATCCTTTCACGTAAACCAGCTGCTGCGGGTGTAGCAGGCCGTCGCAGGCTGCATCAATGTCAGCCGCATCCAGGACAAAGTCTGGGCTCAGGCCGATATCCGGTCGAGGTGCAGTCACAGCCAGCTTCTCCGTGCCAGCAATGTTGGCATCTGTGACAAACCTGGCAAGCTTGCTAATCACACTGAATCTGTTTATTGCGCGCAATGAAACTTCAATTACAAAGAAGTAGCCCGTTCGCCACGATGAGCTCGCATAGCATCAGATGGCTGTCCTGAATGAAATGCAAGACCACTTAAAAAGAACAAAGGGCACGCGAAAGCACGGACTGCTGAGAGACGTTGTTGGCTGCCAAGTCACTGGTTCCTGGATGCCCTTCATTCCCTGGTTGGCATGATAGGCGAGCATCCATGGCCGGAGAACCAGCCCATTTGGACTGCTGCGTTCGAAGCAGCCAGGCTTCGCATAAGCCCTTGGTAAGAAAGAGTTGCAAAACATACGGCACACTCTGTCAACACGTCATCTAGATAATCACAAGACACATTAAGCCAACAGTTTAGCCCACACTTGCGCTTGGTTTCAAAAATTGAAGTGACTGACCAAAGCTGGTGACAAAAACCATTGCCTGGGGATCAGACGTTTTTCCCTGGGGCGGGTAGGTCGACTCCAGATGCTTCAGAAACTTCAGAAGCTTCTCCTGCCAAGGAACACATGTAAAATTATTTCAACATGCTTCCGGTTAGCTGCTTCCTTCGTCTTGAAGGCTCCCTGCGCGAAGAAATTGTTGACAGTACGGAACTCTTCCATCTGCTTGGACCTTAGCTCACGAGAGATTGATGGGGGGAAGACTGGAACAGTGGTCGAGCAAGAATCAAGCAACGCAGGCGAGGGGCCACCACTGACGAAAGATGGTCATGATCTTGATGTCCGGGCTGAGATCACCAGCTTTCTTGCCATCACCAACAGGCAAAGTCGTCTGACGCTTGCCAACCTTGCCACCGCCTGAGCCCTTTTCAGACTTGGTGTCTGACTTTCTTTTCGTGGATCCCATGGCTGCCTCCCCCCGAGTGTAAGAAAACAGGAAGGGCCTTGAGCCTCTTGTTCTGGAGAACTAAACCTTGCTCACAACCAATGTTGATTCAAACACGGCTTCAGAGCAAGGAGCGCAGCGCAGCAACTTCTTGCTTTTGGCGCCGCTGCTGTCAGCACCTGGCATGGAGGATATAGGACTTGGGACTACATGTTGCGCGCATCTTCTGCACCCATGTACATTCAGTAGATTATTGAATTGCAGAACCCAAAGTCATGCATAAACTAATTTTGGCACACTGCCGCACAAGATATTAGTCAAATCCTTCAGGCAATAATTTCGCTGGCCAATGTTGATCACAAATTGTGCATTGAATGTCCTGCCTCCCACGTCACTTATTAGCAGATTCCGGGGCGGTTATCACAAAATGTGTGGCGGTTGTCACCAATGTCTGTGGGTTGTCACAAAAATCACAATGGTTGTGACACACTTTGTGAGACACGCCACAAGTTTCGTGACAAACGCAAGGAACTGTGTGACATCTGTGACAACTGCCATCAACCGCCCACACTATTTTGCGACAACTGCCAAAAACCCACGAAAGTTTTGTGACAACTGCCATCAACGGACGCCCGTTTTGTGATAACCTCGACAGATTTTGTGACAAACTGTGACAACCGCGAGAGATTTTGTGACAAACTGTGACAACCGCGAGAGATTTTGTGACAATCTCTCACAACCGCGAAAGATTTTGTGACAAACTGTGACAACCGCGACAGATTTTGTGACAATCTCTGACAACCGCGACTGATTTTGTGACAATCTGTAACAACCGCGACCGATTTTGTGACAAACTGTGACAACCGCAACAGATTTTGTGACAAATTGCGGCGTCCGCAGCAGATTTTGTGATGAATGTTGACAACATTCATCGGAAAATCCCGGATCCGGCGGCAGCCTCCGGCCGACAGAATTTTCCGATGAATGTTGTCAACATTCATCGGAAACCGAAATTTCATCTACATTGCCAAAAAATGGATCACAACTTCCCTTCTTCCACGCAGGCGCCACAGGTGTCCATGCCGCACCCTAATTTTTTGGCCATTTTGTGACGGCCACATCCCTCACAAAAAAGTAGGGTCTGCGCGACAGGTTTTTTCCGATGAATGTTGACAACATTCATCGGAAACCCCTACCTGACATAGCCGTTTCTTGGGCCAGCACCGCGATTTTTTTTGATAAATCTGGCAGCCTGCATCCCGAAGACTTTTCCGATAAATGTTGACAACATTCATCGAAAAAATGCCCCTGCGCGTGTGGCTGTTTTTTGTGACGAATTACAGCCTCACAAAATGCCTGTCAATTAAACCGACTTCATGGTGAGCAAGGGATTCTGTCTCAGGTATGTCATCCCATGAAGCACGGAACATCAGATGTACTATGGAGCTCAGGGCTTTGAAGTGCCGCCAGGACTTCTTGATTGCAGCTACATTTTCTGGGCGAATTTAAACAGCATCCCTGGAAGATCTCGTGTCCCTTGGAAGTCCACAGCCTAAAACCAAAACTCTAAAGCCTGAACCCTAGACCCTAAACCCCCACACCCCTAAACCCACACGACAGCCTCACAGGAAAGGCAACCTTCACACAGTTTACGCAGTGGGCGCCAGCGAAATTCAAACATTCACGGACACTTACTACTCCTGTGTGCCAAAAAAGGCAGAATTGGCTACACTAGATAATGATGTTGAACAACTACCGTTTGCCAGCACTTTTTCTGCATCCGCACCCCCAAGATGCACTCGACATGACTAGAGGCATGGAGACTCCTTCGCATAAGGGTCCGCTAGGTTTGCTCCGTGGTCGAGCTGTCAAAGGCCTGCTCGACGATCTCCAGAGCTTTTGCCCAGTCCACACCCTCTGCCCACAGCCTGGCGGCTGCTTCGTATTTGTAATGGGAAGCCCGATGTGCCCTGTACTTGTGCAAGTTCTTCTTCGAAGGCAACTCGGAACGAAGCCGCAATGGGTTTGGAGCCTGAGTTGACCCGTGCAAGATGACTTTCAAGTAACGCAAGAGCAACTAATAACTAATTTATTCAGAAAATTGCCACTCCTTCAGGCAGATGAGGGGCAGGATCCAAACGTACACCAGCAACAGCATCCCCAGCCCTTGCACCAGGGCCAACAGCCGGGCCGGGACCCAGTAAACCCCCAACATCCATTGGCCGACTCCTGTCACAGGGGCCGTCTGCCAAGCCTTCCAGGTATGCTGCGGCGCGGGTCATGCAGAAAGGTTCTTGACCTTCAATCAGTCTGAATCAGTACAAAAGGCAGCCACGCTTTGTTTTGCAGATGAAACAGTAAAATCACACACCTAAACCCAGGACCCAACAGCCTGAAACCGCCAGGAGACAAATAAGAATAGGCTAGGCACGCAAAAGGTGGGCCAATTTTGCCCATCCCTCTGCAGTTTGATCATCTCGGGCGCGCTCTTCTTGGAGAACTGGCACAAGTCTATGAGGCATGGGAAAGTCAAGCCAGACTGCCACAACCTAGTTGCCCCTGCCCCGCCTTCAGGTACGCTACGCTCAGAAACCAATTCTTGCGCCACACAATGCGGCAGATATAACACTGGTTGGCTGTACTCTGTGTCCGGCAAAGACATATTTTGCTTCGTCCTGCCCAGAGAATTCACGGCAATGCGCAGTCAGAATCGATTCCCTGATCTTTCAACAAAGGTTAAATGCAGCCAGGAGCCTCAAGACTACATCAGATGGATGCGGCGGTGCGCCCAGGCCATCCCAAAATCGAGTATCGATCTGATCCCGCGGGATGCCTGCAAAATGCCACAACCAAGGACTTCCCCTCTAAAAAATTTAAAGGTGACTCGAGGACTGGTTTTGGAAACTGCGCTACCTAAGTCGCCGACTCTGTCGAAGGAAAATACGTGTGGCGCTCCTGGCCCGCCCACGCCCTGCAGGTGATTTCCTTTGCAACCGATCTGCAGGAACGTCTTCCTGCCGCAACTAAGGATGGATGTGAGAATGATGTTACTGTGGTCAAAAAAAGGTGCTGAGGGAAAGACAACCCTACAGAAATCTAGGTAGTAAGCCTTAAAGAGAAACCAAAACGGCACTGAATCTGTCAGTGTTGCCATTCACGCACAGACTCTACCATGAACGCTTCTCTTTCGGGTTCGTGTGGCCTCGACTGCGGGTCCCTCAGATACTTGTTCAAGCAATCGACGAAGTCAGATGGACAATGTAACTCCGGGTGAGCTTCCAGGATACTTGTGATGACGCTGAACCATTGGTCAATATCCTCGTGAGAATGACCAGAAAGAAGATTTTGGATGTCGGCTCTTTTGATTCGATGTAGACTTGTCAACACACCCGCCAGGCGCAGCAACGTGTTGTTTTTTGTTTCTTTGCTTGTATTGTCTGACTGTATGTGCAAGGCAATAGATCGCACGTCGAGCCCTCTGTCGACGCACCTCTTCAGAACATTCAAGATGAGCTCTGTGCAAAAACTGCTGCCCTTTGTAACATAAGGGTGAGATAAAGCTAGAGCTGCAACGTGTCCGTGAGCCAGCACGCCCATGACGTCCATGCAGGGCCGCACATGGCCACCTAGGTCTTTGGCGGCAAACACCTGCGATCGCGGAACTTTAAATTTACTGTGGTCGATCGCGTCTAAAATGACGCATAACGTCTGATCACCAGCTGGGGTAATCGTTTGGCTTCGACTTCGGCTGCGTGAGCGCCAGTAAATGCCCCTGTCAGCATACTGAAGGCGGAGGTGGTCGCTGTATAACTTCGTTTGGGCGTCACGCGCTTTTTTGTTGCCTCCTAATTTTTTTATGATTGCTTTGTGCCTGGCACAAATGGAGCATTTGCCGTGCTGGGTCTTTTGCCGTAGGGCCAAAAGATGGCTGAAGCTTTCTGACCAGACCTGGGGTACAACTCAACAAATTATGTCTAGTCTATTTCCAACTAAGAAATAAGGATGCTGTACGGGACGTATAACAAACATCATGTCTGGTCTATTTGAGACTAAGATAAGAGAATACTATACGGGGCGCATAACATATAATATTGTATTTCAAAACCAGTAATTGCTGTGTTATCCAGCTTATTGAGCAGAATGAAATCTAACGAAATGGACCAATCTAACCCAAGTGACTGAAGAAAACAGCTTCAAGCGGATCTTCTCGTCAGGAGGCAGGCGTGCATTCAGGAGACCAAGATAATCAGAAAAAGCGCCTGGTGGAAGAAGGCGCATGCTTGATTTGTCTTTCAGGCGACTCTGTTTCACAGCCATCTTGGGCCGTCGTCCTCGATGTCTGCGAAATCTCATAATTTGTGGCACCGAGCTCCCTTCGGTTGTCATTTCTGGCATTGGTTCAGCGACTGTATTGTATAATTCCTCCAAGAACTCTGTTACAACCTCACGCTTGCCAACTTTACGCTTCGAGTTTACATACGTACATGTCTGAGGAAGAAACCTGCCATCCCATGGCGGATCCTCTCGCTTGGAAGCTGCCTGTCTCAACTTGTTCATTCTCGATGATCCAAGACCCAGAAGGACTTGACACGCATGCCAGCAGACAGGCTTTCCCAACACGGAAAAGCCACGGCCTTCACCATCATCATGCTTCTGAGACAATATTTTCGTGACCTCGGCCCGGCTCACATGATACTCGCTCAGACTCAGCAAGCACGACATCATGACAGCGCCATCACAAAGCAGCACTTGAATGGCTTGCAAACCGAGCGACTTCTCGATCAGAATCCGATTTTGCCAGATTTCGCAAACGAACCTGTTCCCGGACCACAGCATCTGGATCCGCGCGGAATTGGGCAAAGCAGTTCGTGCGATCAGTCATGGGTTGCTTCGAGTTTTTCCAGCACCTGCATTTCTTGAAATGAATCACCTTTGACAAAGCAGGAAAGATGTCATTGTAAGTCCACACGCGTGCTCCAGACTTCCTTGCTCGCGGCGCAGCGCTGCTGCTGGCTGGTTCACAAGGTTCACAATCTGACAAGGTGTCCACTGCAACAAGTGCCTCAGAGAAATGGGACGGTCGCTGTCTTTTCAATGGTCTGGGATCATCAGAACTGGCTGCGTCTCTTGCCAGACACAATTGCTGATTCACGTCCGAATCACAATCAGATAATGCATCGACATCGGGTAGACTCATGTACTACCTTTTAGTGCCAATGTGCCAAAAATCTTGTACATGGTAGCAACTGACACTGCAAGGCTACGCTACAAATTCAGTTCCCTAACCTCTAAATGTCCCATCCTCCACCATGCTTGCACTGTGTGAATTTCTCACCACTTCCTGAATGAATGCAACTAGAGCCAGCTGCAAGCTTGCCAACATCAAATGAGGCCAACAAGAAGCTCTGCGCAGAACTCAAATGATCAATCGGAACTAGGGTTAAACACGCCAGGGGCACAGCTTCCATTCATCTGCCGCAGCACAGACGAAGTTTCGCCACTTCACATATTATTATCCGGCTTGCAACAGAGGCGGTGATGTTCCACGTGATGCGCTATGATATGCAAGGCCAACTGGCAGCAGCCTGGCACGACCACATTGCCTATGCAGCTGAGCCGAGACTTGTCCAAACTGCTTTGTTCCTGAGCTAGCCAAGCAGTCAGAGGCAAACGCCCTGGAAGGTTCCAGGGCTGCTTGGCATTCATCCTCATTCTTTCGGGTGTCATTCTCGATATGCCCTGCCAGAAGCCAACATGACTATGACTCCGACTCGTACGTTAACACTGCTACAACGAACAAACTGCCAGTCAGGACTAATTTACATGCAAAACCAGGGGCCTTCAAAAGGTCTTCGGTGGCACCACGCTTGCACGCCAGGAAGAACACCCTCTGCCTCCAGACCTTGCCCAGAAGCCAGAGACTCTCAGACATGGCAAGCTTCGTCATTACAGCAGCATTAAACGGCCTGGATCCCAACCATGCGGCCAGTCGTAGTGGCCCAGATCAGATCCATGTTTCGGTCATGGCAAGCCTGACCAATACCCAAAGCAATATTTGCCCATTCTTTCAATCAAGATAAGTTAGCAGAAACCCATGTCAAAAGTAGTAGTAGTAGTAGTAGCAGTAGTAGTAGTAGTAGTTGTTGTTGTTGTTAGTACTATTTAGTAGTAGTTAGTAGTAGTGGTAGTAGAAGTAATAAATAGCAATAGTAGAAGCAGTAGTAGTAGTAGTAGTAGTAGCAGTAGTAGTTAGTAGTAGTGGTAGTAGAAGTAATAAATAGTAATAGTAGAAGCAGTAGTAGTAGTAGTAGTAGCAGTAGCAGTAGCAGTAGCAGTAGTAGTAGTAATAATAATAGTAGTAGTAGTCGCGGTTGTCCAAAATGCACTTGGGACCGGGACCCCATTTGGGCTTCTTCTCAGTTCCTCCTATAATAGCGATAATAGCTTAGTTTCATTCGCCTTGTGAAACAGAACCCCATGTGCTGCAACGCTGAACTAGAAGCAAACTTTGGTTGGTTTGGGGGAATAGCCGCCTGTACATTCTCCACGTTTTAAAGACTCGATGAAGACTCTATGAGATCATGCTCCTGACCATGCCAAGTGCTGCGCAGCCTGGATCAAGTAGATCATTATCTTGCGGTGCTTCTTGCTGAGGATGTGCCCAACGTTCTCAGCAAAAATGAACAGCCTGAAAACACGTGCATGGTTTCAAAGTATATTTCCAAGGGTTCGTTCATAGTTTTTGTGGCTTAGGGCCGGACCCGTCATGCAGCCGATCAAAGATTCGGAACATGTGGGGCAACAGCCCAGTGGCTTCGTGATCTAGGCCAGTCTGGAGGCCTGCTCTGGATATCCCCTGGGCGAGTACCCACAACACTCAGCGCGCGTGACAACATCATGCAACGCAACAACTGGCTCTCTCACGGTGCAGAAAAGGAACTTGGCAAGGAAATCCTCCTGTCACACCTCTTGCGTGAGCAGTACCTGTGTCCCTTGGGTCAAACTCAGTGACATCATCAAAGAGAGCAGTGTCTCGTACATAACCTTCCCGAATTCTGGACTGTATGATCTGCTGGCAGAAATCATCTTTTTCGACCTGATATCATAAGAAGTAGCAACGCAGTCTGGGTCTGCACGAAGCTCAAACTGAGGGCATGGCAAAGGCCACACCGTACACCAGCCTGAGACACAGAGTAATGGAGACAACTGCAGGGCCTGAACATGCACTTTCCAAGGCCAACGCTCTCGAAGGCCCATCTCCAGGCCGAGGCATCCAGAGAAAACCGAAATTACAGGGTAACGATTCGCCGCCTGCGCACTAGCACTAAAAGTTGAAGCGACAGCCTTCAAGAAAAGGCAGGCCTGCGCATTGTGATCGCCAAAGAGAAGCTGAACATGGGAAGGGTCCACGGCGCCGATTGTCGGATCCGTCCAGCCAGTGGGCAAACCTGAGCCAAGATGAGTTAAATTAATAAGTCCTTCTCATGCGGTCAATGTCAACAGCTCAGCTGAGCACCACTGAGATACTCTCCTAGCTCTGGCCTCACGTAGCGACCTCTTTCGAGGCCTTCTTCCTGGCAGGCCTTCTGGTATTTTTCCCAAAATCGGACCTGGGTTGCGAGGTCCTGCATGACTGAATAAATTCGGTTTCAACCATGTGCAGACACTAGGCAACGCAAGCTCAGCTCCTGTTTGGCCCGCACAGACAGAAATCGAACATTTGCGGAGGTCGTGCATGGGAAACATCCTTAGGCTTGTGCTGTGGGTCATAGAAAACAAACATGAAGCACAAAGGAATCATCTCTGGTTGTTGAAATGACTGAGCCTGCTGCTCAAGGCCCCAAAGTTCTTCAGCTCCACTGTTTTCTTTTGAAGTCGTGTCTTCTTGCGCTCTTCTTTCTTCAACTTTGGGCGAGAAGGGGGAACCTTAGACGACAGGTGTCTGTGTGTGTGTGCGCCACCTTTAAGATAATTTCAATGAAATACATTCGTACTAGACTTCAGATTCAATGATTCGTGCAAATGAGCTGCCACCCGTATCTGCAATGGCTCTGCATCTGGAGGATCACCACGAAAGACGGTATCCCATTCATTTATCAAGAATACCTTCTCACGTGTCCAAAAAGTGCAGCCATACTTGGGCCACTTGAAGTCACTCTTCCAAAGCTGCGCTGCCAGGGACTCCTCCAAAAAATAGACTTACAATGAGGTCACTCAGGATCAAAAGAAACTTCATCCATCCCCTGACCTGCTCTTGCACTTGCACTGCTGCCTTCGTACAGCTTTCTCCTGATGATGGCACCTGCACGCACAAGCCCGAAACAAAGTCAACCCCAGCTTCATTGCGCAGGGAACCCAGCCTGGAAACCCGACTCGTCCTGGTCATCGTCTGAACTTGGCTGTTAAAACTCTGATTCTCGAGCGCTCAAGTCTAGACATGAACTGGGCAGATTCTGGCTGACTTGAAATACTGAGCCACCAGCAGTGTAGAAACGTCTGGCAATGGAGGACTTCCAGCCTCTTCTCTTGACCTGGGCCATTGGCAATCAATGCTACACGAAACTAAGTTTAGTCATAGTCTCTAGCCCGCGTGCTGCGATGCACAGAATACTTTTTCATGCAACCCGCGTGGCAGATGACCTGCTACG